TTGGGAACCTCTTCCTCATCCTGTCAGAGCCAGATTTGCTGATCTTCCGGTAATAATGCCAAGCACATCCTCTCCTACTGCTTCTTGGAAAGCAAACATCTGTATCATTTGTATTTATTCAAGAAGATTCTCATCATCAAGGTGATATGCATAATCCTACATGTTGAACAAAGTAGCCACAAATACATATGTAGATATATGATGTACCCAAAAACATAGCTTGGATTCTGTCCTACACAGTCTTTTATAAATTAAAAATATGAGCTGAGGTGGGAAGATGATGTTTAAATTCACATTTTAAAGACAGTTACTACTTTGTGCTCTTCTTCATCAACTACTTCAAATACATTCTAAAAAAACAGTTAGCCTTACTGGCCCTCCTTTGTAAGGAAAAATATACTTGTTATGCTCAAGTCAGACATGGAAAGCAACAGCCCTCAGAAAAGAGTTTGGGTGTACCAAATTCACCTTTCTATTAAATGAACTGTCATTTGACTAAGGGACACAGACTCTTAACAGGGAAATAAAAAACAACTGAACGTTAAATTTTAACCAAGTTACGTACTTTAAGGAAAAAAAACCCAAACAAATCATATAATGTGGTAAATCCCTCTTCCTCACAGAAAACAAAACAAAACAAAAGTCGTGTGTCCCGTAGGAGTCAATGACAGCTCAAGGCTCGACCTCAGTAAGCTGTCAGCCTGCTGAAGAGAGATGAAAACCTGATGCAAACCGTTCTGCGGCTGCTTCTGTCGGCGGGGATTTTGATGAAGGCGTCGACACTCGTGTGCGAGCGGCGGGTGCACCTTTGGGCCCGCAGATGTTTTCCCACGCGGCAACAAACCTCCTGGACCACGACCCTAGTCTCTCGTCACGGGGGTGCCACGGCCAGACGCGGATCACAGCACCTCCCGCTGCCCCACGCTCTGCCTTGAGAGCCCCGTCAGGGGCTGGAGAGCGGCGCGAAAGAAAGATGGATAGGTGTCCGTCGTCCCCCCCGCACCAGTCCCCGGTCCTGCGGCCTTTCAGAGCCCGGACGCAAGAGGGGCCGGGGCGGGCGCGGGCCAGGCGCCCGTCCCGGGGCTCCGGTGCGCGGCGCTGCGGGCGGACAAGCCTGCGCGGCGGCCGGGGCGTGGGGAAAGCCGAAGGGGGAGAAGCGGAAAATAAGTAAGTAAAGACGAAACTCTCCTCCTGAAGAGGGACACATTGCGGCACAGTTCGCTCTCCTGCGGCGGTAGGCGGCCCGCCCGGTCCGACACCCCCGGTGCTCGGCGCCCGTCCGCCGGCGCCCCGCCCGGAGCGCGTCCCCCGCTTCCCGAGCGCCCCGGCCCCGCTGCGAGGCGGCGGAGCGCCCCCAGCCCGGCCCCGCTCGCCAGTCCCGCTCACCTCATGGCCCAGCTCCGCGGGCGCCGCCCGCTCCCCCAGCGCCGGGCCGGGGAGCGCAGCGGCAGCAGCTCCCCCCGTGCCCGCGGCGGTGTCCGGCCCCGGGAGGCGGCTGGCGGCGGGGCGGCGGCGGGCGGGGCGGGGGAGGGCCGGGCCGAGGGGCGGCCGCGCCGCGTCCCCTCCCCGCTCCGCCCCTGCGGGGCAGCGCGGGCCGTGGGGACGAGCACCGAGCGGAGCGCGGAGGCGAGTCCGGGTCCGAGATGGCCGGAGCGCTCCTTCGGCGGCGGCGGGGCTCCCGGGAAACTTGATGGAAACGGACTGTAAGTACCGCGGCTGTCCGGCCGCCGATATCGCCTCTGCTGTGGCCGCACGCAGTTATCCGTACTTGTGAGGATCTACACAACCCACCACCTGCGCTGGTGGTGGTTATTTACTTCCCAGGAAGGCACCTCACAGCATTAAGAATGTCCTGCACACACGTACTGGTTTTGCTTCCTTCGCTTGAGGTTCTGTTGCAGATCCGCATCCCAGCAGGCTGAGGAGCACGGGAAGGCAGCATGTGGACATCCCCTGAAGCAAACGGTGGCTGTTTCTTCCTGTCCTACTGCAGGTCATCCCTGGGGAGATGCTTCCACCTTCTCCATAACCACCATTTCAGTACTGGGAAACCATGATCAGATCCAGCTGAGCCTTCTCTTCTCCAGGCTGAACACAGCTAGTTCCTTCAGTCTTGCTTCCTATGGCAAGTTCACATTTAAACATCTCTGTGGCCCTCCATCTGAACCCCTCCAATTTTTCAGTGCCTCTTTTGAACTGGGGAAGACCACAGCTGGGGTCAGTCCTCCAGAAATAGATCCACAAGGGCCAAATAGAGTGGAATAATGGCATCCCTTGATCTCCTGGATATGGTCTTCCTTCCCCCCCCCCCGGTTTAAAGTAGATATCATTTCAATTTCCAAAGCATGATTGAATCACAATTGCTGTTAAGTCAAAATCCACTGTTAGGTCGTTTTTAACAGCATGTGTTGTCTCCATAGTGGCTGCAAGATCCAGCTAGGACTCTCACAGATAAAAGTAATCTATTGGGGCAGTTGCAAACATTTTACCAGCCTCTCAGCCAGACTTTTTGTCAGAAATCATGAACCCCATGGCAGTCAGCAGCATGGGATATGCCACTACCAGAGTTGCTACAGTTCACTGTTAAATTTATTAACTTAAACTGCCAGTGACAATACATATGTGCTAATATTATCATATGTTAATAACCAAGGCCTGGGCAACTCGAGAGTGCCCAGTGTCTGTGGTGCAGCTGAGGAGGAGAAGTAAGGCAACATAAGGCAGTTTATAATTATAATGATACTGCAATCAAGCAGCATAACAGCTAGACCACTGAAATGTACTCTGGGCCATAGCTTCTGGTTTGTACTAGTAAAGAAACCCTGGCAAAGAGAAACCACACTGAAATAGTTTCATTATTTCACTATGATAGATACTTTTATACTGGTCTAAAGATGTCTCCTGCAGGAGTGCAGGACAGGACTCCGTGGCTGTGTGAACACCACTGGGCTGTTGCTGTATATTTCTGTTGTTAATATAGCTTCCTCAGGCTCCTGAGAGTGTAGACATTAAAAATGGATAAAATAAGGTTCATGTTTAACACATGCATATAAGCAAGCAAACAAACACTTTCACAGATGTATTCTTTTTATTCATTCTCTTTGCAGCATTTTGAAACCCATGATTTCTGCCAGCAGCAAACATGTTGTGAACTTTACTCTCACCAGAAAGCTCTCAGTCTGTCAGTGTGCAGTGGAGAAATGCGGAGAGTCCAATGGTCCCAAAGTGGTCCATCAGTATCAAAAAGATTCCCAGACTGAATGAGGGTCAGGCAGTAAGTCTCAATGACTTCCCAAGTGGATGTTTAAGTAAACAAGGAGCTAAACTGCTGGGCTGGTTGTTGAAGTAATGCTTTGGCTTTTCGCAGAGAAATCAATAGATGCAAATCACATGGATACAGCCATATAGTAATCATCTGCTTTTAATAAAACACACAAAGATAGGAAGCGCACACACTTCTGTTTGAGGCATTTACTGACAGGCACCCAGCCTGGGCATGACCAGAAGAGGTACCACCTCAACTCTTCTGCTACAAGTGGTCCTTTGGACACAGTGCAAAGCCATGAACTTCATGTCTGGTTTCTGGGAGAAAGCACTCGGAAGTCTGCATTCTGGGTCCAGCACTCAGATGTGTTAGGAGTTGCTTATCTAGTTGCTTACTGTCTGAAAAGATGGCTGAATATAGGCAGGGAAATGTACTTTTTCTTCAATCTCATTCAAAGGACAGACTGAAACAGCTCTGCTGAACTTTTTGAAAGGGTTCAGATCAACCCTAGGGCTGAGACATGGCATGGAAAACTGAGCAGCTGCAGTTAAAAAGCCCTGAAACCCACAACACTCAGAGAAGGCAAGGCTGGATGGGTCTTTGAGCAATCTGATCTAATGAAAGATGTGTCTGCCTATGACGGGGTGGGTTGTTGGATTAGGTGATCTTTAAGGCCCCTTCCAACCCAAATGATTCTATGATCTAGAGTAGACTTCATTGGGTGGCTCAAGTGTTGGCTCCTCATGTTATAAATGAGTGGATTTTGCAAAAGGCCGATGCCTTTGGGGTTTAGCAGAGGAGGGAAGTCCAGAAGAGTGTCACTAGTGCAGGGTGTGCAATAGGTGATATCAGTAGTGTCTTTCTACCCGTTTCTACAGCTCGATTGCTGTGGGCTGTTCTGCCCTCTAGTGCCTGCAGCGACAGCTCCCTCTCTCTTCTCTCGGTTCCCCCTGTGCGTGCAGCACACGCACACCCAGGAGCTGCAGACCCCTGTGCCCCCCCCCTTGCCACTCTGGGTGCAGAGCTGGCCACCCTTCGGCCTTACCTGCCTGCCGAGGACAGCTCCTGCTGGGGACACTGACCCAGCAAGGAAACGGTGTTGCTGCAATGTAGCACAGATGTACTTTTGTGAGGTGGACTGTCCCACTTGAGGAGTTGGCCTGTGAACCGACAGATACGCTAGGAAGTGCAGGCACATTTTGTCAGTCACGTCTGGTACCATTTCCAGTAAACCATCAGGAAAGGACGATTACAAAGAAAACCGAGACTGGACTTAGGATGTGGCTCCAGCCCCTCACCTGGGTTCCAGGAGTCAGGGACTTAATGAGGATTTTGTACTGGCAGAAATTCCTAGTGGAACTCTTTGAACTTGAAAAGCTTGAGGAACAACTGCTTTTGCTCTATTACCTGCTGAGATGCCCATTCAAGTTTGTGAGGAAAGACTAATATGAGTGAAAAGCAATTTTTCTAACTGCTGTAGTAGCAACATTTCAAAATAGGGAAAGTAAGGAAATTTTGTTCCAAGAACATTACCAAAGCACTTGCAAATGTTATTATGATGCTCTCAATGTCCTCAAACACAGGGTGTGGGACAGCAGTATTTTTCAACAGTAAATCTCACAGTTTTTTGATGTATTGGATTGTGTAGAAGGGGATAGTATTTCCCAGTCATTCATTGCACTAGTAACTTATCTCGATTTTTACAGCCTGTAATCAACAATGCCACATATGGAAAACATGTTTTAATGCTTTACTGTTGCTTAGGTTCCTCTTTCAGCATGGGTACGGCACGATACTTGTAAATAGAGAGGAATTAATTTCTTCTTTCTGAGCCATTCATCGCCATTTACTTGATGACTTGCCCGTTTGTTACTCAGTTTCCAAATCCTGTGTTCCTGCTTGATCTGATTCTTCCAGCTGGGAAGAGATGGGATCTGAAGGCTGTTCCTCAGCAACAGGTTGGTCAGTCTCTTCTTTCTCTGTGACTGGTTGGTCAGCAGCATCTGCCTCACCAGACACCTGGGGTGCTGCATCTGGTGGCCTGGGCTCTTCAGCAAGTGCTTCTGTCTGAGCAGGCAGAGGCTGACAGCTAAATGCATCTAGGCGTTTTTCAACCACTGTACGAATCAAGGCTGAAACAGAAAGCCACCATTAACAAACATGGAGGAAAACCCCTATAATTTAACATTTTTTATATATTACTGACCTGTAACTTCTTAAACAGGGAAAGAACCCTGACGTAACACTAAAAATGAAAGAATATTTAAGTGAGACAAAACCATCCCTGCTGCTGTAGCTAAATGATTGGTTTACACTCAATGCAGTGATTTGAAAAGGGTGTAATATTAGAAATTTTTGTTGATTTCCTCACATTTGCTTCTCACTCACAGAGCAGGTCACCCCATCAGGAACAAGGACTAGCCAGGTTACACATAAGGTGATGTTTTGGGCAGTCTTCATTCAAATAGGTTAAAAATGGATCCTTAGAGACTTTTCCCCTGTTTCTGCTTAAGAGGGGAAAGAAGCCATGAACTGTCTCAGCTGAGGCTGTGTTTGCCTCTACAAAATTTGGGGGATATTCCTTTTGCAGAGATGATGTTTACTCAACAGTGGGTAACTGGGTAAAAGTCAGGAAATACAGAGGGTAAATAGCAAAATGGGCTGCTGACATTACTTATTGGCCTGTGCCAAGTGCTCTGTATATCTCAGAACTGGAGCAAGACTATGATATCTAGTTAAACAATTAAACAGATTTAACAGGAATATGATAGATGTTCTCATCAATAGTGTATCCTGCAGCAACATTATCCTAAGGATGTTTTAATTCAGTAGTCATATACAATATATTTTTTATTAAAAGAAATTTCCTTCCCCTCCTGAAGAGCTATTTGAAGAAGTGATCCTTGAATGTACATACTGCCACATATATCAGGATAAAATACCTAACAGATCAGCTGTAATTGTCCAAATCATACTATATCTTAACAAATAAAATTCAGGGTCCCAGTTAAACTGAAAATAAACCCAAAGGAAGCAAACACAATTTTAATTAAAATTCAAAATCCCAGCAAGACGAAAACTATAGGAATGAGGAAGATGTAATGCAAGTGTAAAAAGTGGTTTGATCTAGGAGCACTCCAGTGGATACACATACATCATAATTTTGTGATTCTACACAAGAGAGAGTTCAGATTGTTCAGGTGTTTCTAACTACAGCCTCTGAAGACCGAATAATAAAAGAACCCAAATACTTAGCTTGAACTAGCCCCAAAAAAAGACTGATATTTCAATCTATTTCAAAAGCAAGGACAAGATTATTGACTATAGCAGGAGGTAAGCCCTTGCTTTGATGAAAAATGTTGGTCACCTCACTTCTCAGTCAATCATGGCCTATGACTATCCTCCTTTCATGTAGGAGTGCTGGGAGCTTACACAAATCAATTAAGAGACTTTCATGGTATACATGTGGCAGTACACCGGATGGGCTTTTCTGTTCCCACTGGCATAATCAGGCACACTACAGAGAACATAACAACAATGGTAGCTGTGTAACACAAAGGAAGTAGAAGCTTTATAGCAGAAAAAAAGAATTGTGTTCTTTAACCATTTTCTTCCTGACACATGTTGTATCTCCCAGCATTAACACATCTCAAACAGTATAAAGCCAGGAGAGAGTGAACAGTGCAGCATGACTGACACTCCTATTATTTCAGATGAAAATCAGTTACCTAGTTGTATGTAGTAGTAGTTTTCCAACATTAAAACATTTTAATATAGTTAAAAAAAAAACCCAAAAAACCCTAAACACAAAGGTACTTGGAGTTCTTGCTAAAATGACACCTCCTGCCTTAATCCACAGTGATGATGTAAATGTGATATTTGTTCTAACCAGGAAAAAAGCAATAAAGAACCTCAAGCAGCCCAGATTACATTACAGGATTTGCTAACTTACAGTCAAGCATTGTCCTCCCCAGAACCTTCTTCTGTAGTGTTTCTTCCACTTCTGACATCAGCCATGGAAGGAATTTTGTCTCAATATCTGTAAGAATTTAGCAGGAAGAAAGAAAGAGAAAATGCCATTTTATTAAGGATGACTGACAGGACTTGGGGGCTGTTTTTTACTTGCTGCAACAATTAAGGGATGAACCCCCCTGCCAGAAAACACCTGATTGTAAGAGTCAGATAAAATCTCTTGAGTGTTGTTTGGTTTCTTATCTCCAGCCTCTCTTACTGAGGTTCATCATTATGGACTCTGACCAGAGTCCTCTCAACTGCAGTGATTTTCAAAGAGGTCTGGCACCCTTGAAGGGCTAGCACAGTTGAGATATACAGTCATGTTCTCATGAGATCCAAATAACTATCCTGAACAAGTCAGGAGAATAACATTTCCTGCCTTGCTTTCAAAGACATTTGGCGTGTGGTCTGCTGAAAGCATTTGTTCCCTCTGACTAAAGAGCTCTTGCTTACCCATGTACTTCTCAAATCATACTCTTTGTATGCTGTGGTCCCAAAGCCTGCCCTGGTTGCAAAATACACTCAGTTTCTGCATTAACCCCATGACTTATTCTGGAGAGAGTGTAGCTGTTCCCAAGCCGTGGTCTGCGCCCATGTGGAGCCTGGTGAAGTGGGGTGCAGCAAGGTAGCCCATAAGAAATGCTGGTGATTCTAAAGGCTTGGAGATCACTGATGTACAGGTCCAAAATTATTTTCAGGGCCTAATTCTAATTGACTAATTTCTCCCTTGCTCTGATAATCATTAAAAAATATTCAGAATGACATACTGATTTCTTTGTCTGTTCTATCAAAACATATTTACTTCAATTTGGATATCTCTCTCTCTACTGTAACAATCCTAACCACTCATTTATATCTCTCCAATTCCAAAGCAGATCTTTTCACTGTCACACTGTCAGCTCTTGCTTATTCTTGACTACTTGTACAGATGACCAATAATATTTGTTTGTGTTAAAACTATGAATTCAGCCACAAATGTAAATTAATAAAGTCTTATGACATTATTCTAAATAATAGAAGGATATGCTATGTTTTATGGTTGTTTTGAGCTTTATATTACTTAGTTCATATATTTTTAAAAAACAAATACAAACCTCTTTCTATAGGGTCATAAAAAAATCCACTGTCATAAAGATTGCTGAAGACTGAGGGAATAAGGTCAGCCAGGTAACGCTTAGCAAATGCCCGAGCTGCAATTTTCTCCGTGGTCTCTTTCTGCTTCCGCAGCTTTTCCAAGTGCTCGAGTCTGCGACGTTCCTGTCAAGGTAATTATGCATGTGAAACTTAGAGGCCTTTAGCTGTTACTCCTTTGATCTAGACTTTGAAGAATTATCACAGTGCAAGTCTCTTAAATTGCAAAGATAATCAAAACTGCAGATAATCATAGTCTCTACCTGGTATTTGCAGCCTCTGCCTTTCACAAAAACTCCTCATATGAAAGAGTGCTTCAAAGCAAGCTTGTACTCAATCTATGAAGTATTAAAATGCCCAAAAATTACAGAGAAACACATTTCTGTGTTCTGCGGTCCACCTTTTCTGATTTTGGGAAGTCTGTAAAATAAGGGCTTCACAGCTGGCCAAATGAAACCCTTCTCTGATGCCTTAGTATACATTGATCTCATGCCTTCTTACTTTATTATTGCAGATCAAGCTGATCATTGGCCTTAGAATGAGATGAAGTTGGATAGTGTTTCCTGAACTTTTCATCTTTCCAATATTCTATCCTATTTGATGATTAAAAAGATTAAAACTCAAATTGGTCCAGGAAAACATTAAAAACCCCAATTATATAAGACTGATGAATAGTAAGACTTGCCTTTTCTGTTTATTCTTATTTACTAAATATTAATAATATAGCATAATACTTGGAGATCTTGAGATGTACGTGTGCACATAGAGCATGCATTGGGTGTGAAAGTCTAGGAGGTGTCTCTCTTACTTTTGAGCACTCTGACTATTAATTTAGCAGTTATTATAATGAAAAGATTTAAGAAACAGCTGAACCAGGTACAGAATAAAAAGCTGTTGGTCTGGTCTCTTGATCAGATGTCCAAGTATACCAGGTCACTCAAGCGTGACTGCTCCAAATAAACACAACAGTATGATGGTGGTGTATGAGAGCACGTGGCAGAGTGCAGCTCACCAAAATGCTAGGAGGAATATCAAAGTTAACAGTGCCCTTTGGGGTATATCCAGCTTATCTCACAGCTTGTCATTCAGTACTGGAAATGTTTTTCTCCCTTCTGATGAGCATTCAGACTGTTTTGCTGTTAGGCAGGAAGTCCTACCTTCTCCTCTCTGATACGCCTGTCCTGCTCTTCCAGGCGCTGTAATTCAGCAAACTCTGCGTTACGCAGCTCTATAAAGGCACGCTGATGTGCCCGCAGCTGGGCCAGCTCTTCTTCCTCCATGACTTCCAGCAAAGCCTGCTCAACTGTTTTCCCAATCAGCACTTCCAGGATTGGCTTAACTTCAATGTCAAAGTCAAACAACTGAGGATAAGAATCACGGAAACAGAGATAAATGTCCCTTCATCACAACTGCTCTTAACAAGTATTGGCAAGGAGAACAGGAGGCTGAACAAAGCCCTTGTGCTGAAGGCAGGCCAGAGAAGTGCAGGTGGGGCCAGTGTCAGCTGAGGCAGAAAGAAGCATGAGTGCAGCTGGAGGTAAGTGATGAGTGGACTGGAGTGAGATACACACATCCTACCACAGCCACTGTTGGGACTGCCAGGGACAAGCTGAGCATTCACTTGGACCCTGTTTCTATGTTCCCCACCTGTTCTTGAGCTGGACACATTTTACAGAAGAGCGCATTTCTCAGCACTGTAATTCTTAGCTGAAAGCAGCGGAACCAGTGCATATGGAGAAGTATCTTTCTTAATTTTGCACCTAACCTCAAAGCAGACATTGGAGAGTTGGGTTGGGTTTTGGTTTTTGGTTTTTTTTGCATGTTCTGTGAGGATTAGTTCCTTTCTGTTTCTACTTCAATTTTGCATCAGAAATGTGTTTTGCATGGGAGACATACTTCAACAGCACTTTGTGGACTGACTTTGCTTCATACCTCTCCTTCTTCTATTTGTGTGGCTATATCTTTTCCCGTTTTGGCTGGTATGAAGAGTGGAGTAGGTGGTCTGTCCAAAAATTCATCTGTTTGACACTCTCCATCAACCTCTACTATACGATCACAAATCTCTTCCAGATACAGTTCTAGAAACAAAAGCACATTGAATACTCAAAGCTGGATTCTTTTTATTTTAACTCTAAACTATTTTGATGACTCTACACTGTGAATTATATCCAAAGAGTCAAATAAAATGTCTTATATAGAGTTAAAAAAAAAAAAAGGCAGCTCAACTTAAAACATAGATCAGTTTGCTGCATAGGCCATCTGATGCTATGCTCCCTGTAATGTCAGGTGCACTTCATGGAAGTGATCCCCAAAAAGGGTAGTTCACTTGAAGCAAAATTTTTTAAACCTCTCAATTTTGAGCATATATGAAACTTCTCTGATGATCCTGGAAAAGGAAAGAATAAATAAAGAAGTCTTGACTAGTGTTCAAGAATGTACACTGAAAACTGCAAAATAGACCTTCTGGGGAAATGTCACTAATTAGACAAGTTTATAAAGGGTTATAATGGAAAGGATTATAGAACCTCTGATTCTAGCATTCTATGATTTTAAGCTTATCCCTGTGTGATTCTACCAACTTCATCATCAGCTTAGCAAGTGAATATAGATCAGCAAGCTTTATTTTCAGATGCATAAAAAAAAAAAAAGCCTTTTACCTGTTTGCACATGAACATGCTCTCTGCCTTCCACAGGCTCTGGTGTTCCTGGTCGAATTGACTCTTTTGCACGCTTTCTTGCCAGTGCTCTTTTCTGTGCACCCTTCTGCTTTTGAACCTCAGGGGGATTGGGTTGGGTACTCTGAGCAGGGGTGAGGAAGGAAAAAAACCACAAAACTGTGTACTTGAAAATGATATTTCATTCTTTCTACAGGAAACTGAAGATTGCTGTTTGATTTGACTGCCAGCAATCTAGCATTTTGGATTTACTTTTCTGGGTCCTGACTCTAAATTTTTGGTTGACTTAAAGACTGTAGGGCATGAAACTAATAAAATAGGCTAGCTGCCTACAGGCACATACTAATGGCATCTCACAGTAAGAGCATCCATTTGTTATTTGAAAGTGAATATATGTTTTTTCTGACAAGTGAGTTTTCAAATTTTGAGATGTCAAATGGACTTAAGTCCAATTATCATGTTATGAACACAGTTGTTTGCTAGATAAAAATTACAGGACCAATTACTGCTGATGAAACAAAAGAAACTTATACTACCTTTTAAATTCAGTACTCTGCTTATGGATTGAAATGAACATCAGTTTTGAACTTCTTAAACAAAACTTACACGAAATTCACTCTAAGAAACAGATACTGAACAACACAAGTTATTTACATGAAGTAGCTTTTAAAAATACAGACTGCTTTAAATTTGTATATGATCAAATTATCTATGTTGAAATATTCTCTGAAAATAAAGTATTACATTTGGATGGGGTTCTGAGAAACCGGAACCAGTGGAAGATCTCCCTGCCCATGGCAGGGAGTTGGAACCAGATGATCTTTAAGGTCCCTTCCAACCCAAACCATTCTAAGGTTCTATGACTTACTACTATATCAGGGTAAACAAAATACTTTTGCCTCCTCACAAGTAGCTTTTGCATACTGCTGGTCCATTTAGCTCTGCTTCTATGCTAGGATAAGCCAAAGTCTACCCCAAGACTCAATTTCCCAGGAGCTGCAATTCTCCCTGATGACACCTTGCATATGATCACAGATTATGCACTGATGACTTGTGCTTAGGATCATTACAGATGATCCTAGAAAGAAATGGAGAGGCAAAAAAAGGAATCACGTACTTAATAGGGGGAAAACAATAAATGAGAACTACAGAAGTTCATGTGTAACTAAGTGCTTTAAAGAAGAGCTGGAAACAGACACACGCTAGTTTAACTGTGACTATGTGAAACATTTTAAGTAAAATTACAGCTTCAGTAGTTAAAATTATAAATGAAGAACAGCTTTCCTGGCCTACCTACCTATGACTTTCCAACAAAGCTGTAGCATGATCCACATTAAAAAAACAAAACAAAACAAAACAAAAAGAAAAGGAAAAACACATACCTGCGGCAGGAGGCGAATGGCTAAAGCGGGTCCCCGCGCCACTCTGGGGTCGCGCATGATGTTGCCGTAGCACACCGGCTGCTTCTCCCTGCGAGCAGCACAGACAGCGCCGGCTGCAGCACCGCACACCGCCCGGAGCGGCTCCGACCGGCTGCAGCGGGCAGCTCCCCCCGAGACACGGGAAGAAGGGCTTCCCGGGAAGGGCGGCGAGGGAGCCGGGATGAGGGGAAAGGCGCGGAGGGCGCGGGGGCAGCGGCACTCACGGCTCGGCGGCGTCGGGCGGCGCTCGGTACTTGGGGCGGGCGAGCAGGGAGCGGGGCTGGCTGCTGTAGCTGTAGGGCAGCGCAGGGGCCACCGTCAGCTCCGACGGTCGGGCGGGCAGCATGGTGGGCTCTGTCCGGCAGCCGTCAGGCGGTGCGGGGCGATGCGGGGCGGTGCGGGGCGATGCGGGGCGGTGCGGGGCGATGGACCGCCGCTCGGATCGGGGCGGGGCGGAGCGGGCCGCGAGGGAGCTGTAACGGCGTCCGTCTCCTGGGCAACGCGCGGCGCATGCGCGGAGGAGGCGGCGGCGGGGCCGTTCACAGACCCACAGAACGGCTTGGGTTGGAAGGGACTTTAAAGATGGTCCAGTTCCATCCCCCCACCATGGGCAGGGACACCTTCCACTAGACCAGGTTGCTCAGAGCCCCATCCAGCTTAGCCTTGAACACTTCCAGGGCTGGGGCATGTACAGCTTCTCTGGGCAACCTGTTCCAGTGCCTCACCACCCTCGCAGCAAGCCATTTCTTTCTAATAGCTAACCTAAACCTACTCTCTTTCAGTTTGAAGCCATTCCCCCTTGCCCTGTCACTACATGCCCTTGTAAAAAGCCCCTCTCCAGCTGTCCCTGCAGGAACTGGCAGGCCGCAATTAAGTCACCCTTTGCTGTGCGCGGGTGTGGCTCCGGCGGGCGCCGGTTCGTGCCGTCCCCTCTCACGGGCGTGTTCCTGCCAGGAAGAACCAAACCCTCAGGAGGGTTAAGGAGGACGTGCCGGCCCACCAGGCACTGGGAAAGCACCACCGTAACCCATAAAGGGCCCCAGCGCTGCGGGGCCTCCCCTGGCCGAGGTAATGAGGGAGTTGAACCGCGAGGTGTCACCGTCGTGCTGGTGTTGCTGGACAAGCTCCTCAGGGACTCTGCGCTTTCCGGGGAAACTGGCGGTGACCTAACTTGATCTGCAGTGGCATTGGGGTGCAAAGATTGGCTGGGGGGGTCGCGAAAACCTGTTGGATGGCGTACTGGTGGCTTAGGTACTGATGTAAAAGTACCGGCTCGAACAGCTGCACTCCAAATTTTGCGTTTTCCACACAAGTAGGGGATTTGGATACTGTAAAGGTGTTGTATGATGGGAGATAAGAGTGTGAGGTGCGTCCTCAGTATGCCACCCCATCCATGGTGAGCTGCACTCCTTTTCAGGGCAAATCATGAGGACGTATTTTCAGATTATGTGAAAATTTTCCTTTAAGAGAAACATAAAAGCAATGAAGGGTTACTGATAAAGTGATAGCCTTCTTTTTCAACCTTTGTGGTTAGTGATATGCCTTGATCGCTTTAGCAAGATAGAGTATATAAAACAGCCCATGACTTTTGTTTCTGAAACCTTTGGTTTAAATGTAATTCACGTGTGCAATTCTGTTTATTTCATCTCAGTTATGTTAGTGCTGCAGATGTCTGTGTTCCACCACAGCCCTGAGTAGACAGTCGCAAACAAGAGAATTACAGATAGAAGAGTGTACTTCATAGGGGGCCTGGAAGGCATGAAAGAAGCTGTAGAACAGGAGAAACTTTTTAAAAAAACAAGTTAAAATCTCTACCCTAAACAAAAAAAACAACCCTACCAAAAAAAGCCAAGTGTGGGAGGCAAAGGAAAAGAAGGAATGTTTCTGTAATTCATTAATGGGCAGCTTGCAGAGTCAATACAGGAATGGGAGTTGTGTTGACTAGACTCTTGTTAGCTGGGTGGTAGGACAGAAGGATATCCTGCAGGAGTACTGTTCAGGTATCACTGGGGTAAGAGGGGAGAGCAGTCCTTCAGTATTTGTTTGTGTCTGGACAAGCAAAGTTAATGATAAGCATCTCAGTTGAGCCAAGCCAGAGAACTGTGGCCCTTGAATTTGGCCAGAACCAAAGCAAGCCTTTGATTTTGGAGACCTGACTCATATTTCCTTGAGTTTGGCTGTACAGCTAACTATACTGCTTTTAGACTGGGGACTTGAAATCCGGGTAGACCTTTCCAGGATTGTTAGGGATTTGGTGTTTCTATTCAAATACAAAACAGCTGCAGCATAGCCTTAAAAAACATCTGTCTATACAGATCCGATAAGGAATGGAGCGTGCTTGCTGAACAAACCAAGAAATTTGGCTGGAATGAACTGGGTAGGGAGACAATGCGAAGAGGGCCCGTAACCAGGAGGAGCGAGGAGCAAGGACCAGTGGAGCAAGGATTCCTGTGGTGCTGACTGTTACCTATTGCCCACAAGTCTTGTGATGATGAAGGTGTTGCATCACAAGTTCATGTTGTTAAGCTGGCCCCAGCCTGGTACCTCACCTTTTGGGTGAATTTCTAATCCACCTAATAAGTGCACTGGTTGAATGGCAGCAACTCTCCTCCTCAGGTCTGTGAAACACTGTTAACTCCTCAGTTACCAGTCTACTGCAAAAGCATTGTATCGTTTCGGAGGGACGAAGGTCTCTGACTTGCAGGTTAGCAGAAC